GTATAAGAATTTTTTCCAAACAATAATTCAAACCCAAATTTTTACCGATTAGATGTGGCTCTCACATTAAAATTAAAACAGAATATTCACTTATACATACAAATATATGTATGTACATACACGACAGATATTAAACTCTATACATTCTATGTGTCGCAAATGAAAACTTTCTTATTTTGTATACTAATATACATATATCTTACATTTCAATATTATTTGCGAATCCGAGTACCACAATTTATTCCAAATTCAATTAAGTTACATTTAATTCGCATAGCTATGTACCGATATGTGGTTATTTTTCACTTTTCGTCTTTAATTAATGCTGAATGTGTGTGTTTGCGATTCCACTCTTCGCGTTCATTGTTTAAGTTTAACTTACTGGATACAAACTTGAGTCTGATTATTCATTTAAAACGACAAATACACAGTTCACTTTTATAAGATGTTATTCACTTTAATTATTTGATAATTTTTCGAAAATTATTTTACATTTAATAGAGCAAATGAACCAATCACACACTCACGTAACGTTCGCCTCCCATTAATTTATGAATGTATGAATAGAGCAGTTATTCAGGCTCAGTAGAATATTCAGGTTCAAAAGCCGCCACTGAATACAACATAAAATTTCTCTTTTCCCACTACCAATTACTCAGAGAAAATCTCAGAGCTGCCACTTTTTAATTTTAAAACAAACCAATTAGAGAATTGTATTTTTGCATATTAAACGCGAAACAAACGAAATTTGCGGTTAATATATTTATTATTATTTACGTTCGGAGAGCTAACTTCGTTATCAATATAATCAATGCACTATTCACGGCGCGACATATCACATTTTTTGCCATTTTGTTGCAGCAAAGTGCCGAGGATGCAATTAACGTGTTTTGCAATTATACGGTATAATTCCATTGAATGTTAACCCTAATACTTATGTAAGTACATATGTACATGCAAACACCGATATATGTACGTGAACTCAGATGCCGTATTTATGGAAAATTAAAAGTCGTTTAAATAAACTTTATTTAACTCTTTGATGTTGGATTCTAATATTATCACATTGAATTTTTTGAAAATTGAAACTTATTTGATTTAGTATTCATATAGTTGAAAATTACAATACAATTTTATTTCACACACGAAAAATTACCGATTTCTCTTTTCCAACACATTCAGATTTTAGAGTTCACTTATGTGTAGCAATATACGGTAAGGTGAATTACTTTTATTTTGGACAAAACAACACATAGTTAATACACGAGTCGTCCAAACCTTCACTTCATTTCGCCAACTTCACTTGCCTTAGTTTCATTTCAAGGACTTAAATTTTGCCAACTAAATTAGCGTAACAAATTGTTCGTAGTCATTTACAGAGTTTTTGATTAAAGCTGCGGACTTAAACTGTTATAAGATTGCAAACTTATCAATATACTTTGCATAAATGCAGTTAAATTAAGTGAAAAGTCAATAGACTTGCACAATTTTATATGTTCGGCACCGTAAATAGTTTTAATTGGCAGCGAATTGGCAAAACTCTCTTAGTTTCGATATAAATCTTTTCAATACAATGCAAGTTCATTTTTGCATTACTTTGAATTTCACACAGTTCAGCTTTTTGTATGATACCATAGTCCACAATTCATTTTTGTCCAATATGGCCATATCAGAGAATGTTAATGAATAGAGAAGGCACAAATGTCAGTTCTTCTAAAAGTAAATTATTATGAGTGAACATCGGAAAAGCGCAAATTCGAAAATGAAATTTCACCCCTCTATCAGGGAACTCAACGACTTCACCACACTATAAGAAGACATGGATTCCTCAGATTACGAATATTTTGCTTCCAGCTCTGTGCTAAATATATTTTTAAAGAAAAAAGAAAAATCATCCCATATATACAAAACTTTGAATATACGTGAATAAAAGTCGAAACATTCAATTTTATTCTTGATAAGGTTGAAATTTATCCAAAGATTTTCAATTATTTTTCTATTACGATAATTTTTATTTTTTTGATCCCCTAGAGCAGGGCGAGAAAAAACTTCACCTATTAATATGTTAATATCCATATTTTCAAAATCACATGTAATCAATCAATCAATCAAAAATCAACTGAATAATATGCACAACTGAATAATATTAAACGAAAAATGCTTCAAAACTACAATTTTCTCGCATTGATTAGCTTGGCACTCGGCTTCGGTCAGTTGTCTGTGCGATTTCGTATGAAAATGTACGCACACAGTTTTGAAACGCATTCGTCGCATTCGTTAGCTTTCCGCTCGGCTTACAACGACAACAATTTCATTTACAGGATGACAAAAATGATGAAATGATTTCAGTAAAATTGAAGAAATCAGCCAAAATTGAAGAGCGACCACTGAAAATCCTGCCATCCCCTCGCATTTGCATCCGACGTTGCTGGGAAGGGAGAATTGGCAACATGGCCTATTACCGACTCATAATATTATTTTACTTTATTTCCTGTTATGCACTATACATATATCATCATGGAAAGATTATTATTTAAATTGAAAAATGTATATAAAATGGCCATTCATGTGAAATCTTTCATTCTAAGTTATATTATATTATTATATTGTCTAATTTGTATTGAGAAACACAGATATCTTAGGATCCATTGACGTAATATTATAATAAAGGGTTTTCCAATAAGAGTGATATGATTAAAAAAAAACACACTAATTGTTAACGAAATTCAAATATTTTTTATTTAATGTGAAGTTCAATAAATACAATTAAGTTCTTAATATTACATTAATCAAATGGCCTCCTTGACTTCTTTTGCAGGAACGAATTCGATGAACCCAATTTTCGAGTACTTTTTCCCCTAAATCAAGTCGTATGTCATGAATTGCACGTTCAATATTGACTTCTAAAGCTTGTAGAGTTTTTGGCTTATTGACTTTAAATACCCCACAAGAAGTAGTCTAATGGTGTTAAATCACTAATTCTTGGAGGCCATTCAATGTCACCATTTCTTAAAATAATTGAATCTCCAAACTTTTCTTGCAATAAATCGGTTGTTGCACTTGCTGTATTGCACGTAGCCCCGTCTTGTTGGAAGCAGATATTGTCTTCTTATAATTGCATTCAAAAAAAGTTGGTTATCACCGATCTATACCGCTCTCCATTGATAGTAACGGTGTAACCAGCAGAAAGTTTTGCTTATTTACGGCACCACTCAGATCAAAGTGTGCCTCATCGGAGAAGGTGATTTTCTTAAAAAAATCGTTATCGTCCAATGGCTTCAGTTCTTGAGTGAGAACAATTTTATACAGATGCAAGCCCAAATCCTTTCTCAAAATCCGCCAGGTTGAGGTTTGAGACAGTCCCTAATCTTGAGAACGTCTAGGAATCGACAATATTTTTATTACTTCGAGCGGTTCTTTGTCTTATTGGCTCTTGAACATTATGTAAAGAAAATGTACGCTCGAAATTGTCAACAATTCGATGAATAGCGATCACAGGTGGACGATTATTACGATTATTAAAAATGGCAAAAGCGCACGAAAAGTTGCAATTGGAGAACGATTATTTTGATAATAAAATGGAAAGATAAAATGGAATAATTTGTAAACGTTGTTCTTGTGTATATCTTTCCATGATGAAATTATAAACATTAATGAATACAATGAAAAAAATTACAGATCACGACAAATTAAAAATAGCCAAAACGACAATAAGAAATCACATCATCCCTATTGGAAAACCCGATATTTACATAAATAATTATGTGACAGTGCACCCTCTGACCCCTGCTTCCCTGCGATCGTTCAACTTGCTTCGTTCTAACCGTTAATAGCAAAAGTAAAGAGCTTGGAACATTGTTTGAACGAGGCAAGGAGAAGCAAGCATCAGCGTACGTGTATTTATAATATGAATGCATGTGTGATTGTCATATTTGTGTAAATAAGCATATATAAGGGCACATTCAATAAACCTAAACATATGAACATGTTTTCCTGGAATATTTTAATTATCTCAGTAAATAAAATATGCTATGAAAGTAACTTTATTGAGATCTGCTAAGATTCCAATTAATAAAATAAAAGGGAAAATAAAATTTAAGATTCATAATTTTCAGGATTCGAACGAAAATGCTCGTATTCGTAGTGGCTTAACTCCATCACGCTTATGACCTAAGCCACTTCAAAAGTGGAAACGCGGTCGCTTTAGCCACTGTTTTATTGTTATCCTTTGACCATTGAGATAATGTTCATGCAACGCACATACATACATATGTAAATGTGTTGAAGAGTTTATCTTTAAATGCTTATTTTATTCTGCGGTTTTTACCAACAATACTCCTTTTTAATTCAAGAGATTATATGTAAATATAAAATATGATTTTATTTCTTATATCATAGAAATTGAAAACACAAATCTAAATAGACTTGCGCATCGATAATTTATTTAAGAACATTCGTTGTGTCTATTTATAGCCTTTTCGCCGTTTTCCACATTGTGTAGTGTATTTTTCTTTTCGAAGTTAAATTTTGTGATGTTCCCTCATGTGAAAACTACAAGGGCTGCCGAATTGTGCAGCAGACGTGGTTCAAGTTAGAGTGAAGCCGTGTATAGTGTAATTGAGACATAAGAAAGAAGTTGTATGTTGTAATAAGTAGTAAAGCGTTAAGTAGTTGGAATTAGAAATAAATATAAGTGTATAGCCATTAACTTGGGACTTTGATTTAACAATCCAGTGATCGAACTCAAGAGTGAGTTACAAGGTAGACGATTTATCGAGAAGTCCGTTACAATATTATATATGTATGTTTTTGCTTTGTATCAATGAAATCTGCAATTTATAAATACACCGCCTAACGGAAGCTAGAATAAAAAATTTGGGGCCTTTTCTTTTTATAAAGGTTATGGTTATGTATGGCCTTCATGCTGATCTCTGACAGACGTTGGAACTCTTATAGTATCTGGAATTTGCTTGTGAACCATTTTAATTTAAAAGGGATTTCCTAAGCAGATAATATGTCTAACAAGAAATATATAGGGCATATGGTAATGTAAATTAATGGAAATAGTATCAACCTTGTTCCGGCGGATGTAACGCTGGAGAAAATATAAATGAGAATCCAACTAAATCCACTGTGGTGTAATGTTTATTAAACTTTATTTTTGACATAGATACATATGTACATATGTATTTACGCATATGGATCTATTTTCACTTATAATAATATATTTACCAAGAAATTCTATTTGAAATAAATATTGTACCTTTTATTCTTACACGAACAAAATATGTTTACTTTATTTATGGAGAATATAAGTATATACATCTATATTCAAACATACATACATACATTCATATGTATGCAGAAAAAAGCTACACCATGTGGCACTATTTTCGCTTGCTATCGCTTTTTAAAAGTGGTTCTGACTTCAGTTTTTCCAAAAACACCGGTTGCATGTCAGTAAACCAGGAAATCTCTTCACAACGAACCTTCACCGGACCATCTTTGCAAGTCAGCCAGTAAGTGCTCATGAGGCCTTTGCCCTAAAATGAGATAAAAAGAACATTACTAATGCTATATTGATTTATATTTATGAATATTAAAGATTATTATTATCTGTAATATCAATATAATTCTGGTAAAGTATTGTTTTGCAACTTAAATTAGATTTAGTAATAATAATAATATCTACAGAATAATCCATAATAGAAAAAAAATTTTTTTTAACAGAAACATAATTTTTAACATAAATAGAATTTTTAACACAAACAGAATAGATACTTTTAAGAATTAATTTACTGAGAACTAAAACAGCTTTCAAAACAGAAACATAGTCCATAGCAGAATTTTTAACAGAAGCAGAATTTTTTACAGAAACAGAAATGATACTTTTAAGACTCAATTAGAAGATTTAGGGAATGAGAACGAGAATCAATGAGAACTAAAACGGCTTTTCAAACATAATCATAATCCCTAGCAAGAAACAGAAAAGCTACTTTTAATGCAATACTAAGTAGGTTATCAGATTCTTTTCAGCATTCATAACAGAGTCAGAATTTTTAACAGAAACAGAAAGTCTTTAAACCATTGACATTTTTTTTCGATTACATCTCAGTACGTGAATAATAAATTATTTCACATTTTTGTTGCGGCGCATGTTGAATATATGAATTTTGTGATAAAATATTTTTAGTTTAATGATTTGAAATGTAGCGACTACTGTTGTCATTGTGAAAAGTATAACATATTCCCCAAAAAGTTTTGGGAATACAACTGAGGTGACAATCCTGCATTTTTAAAGGTTTGAATGGACATAACGGTTCCAATGCGTCAGTAGAGGTAGTACCAACTCGACATAAGAGGACATTACAGGTATTAGGACCAATTCGAGGAGTACCAACTAGAAAACTTATTCTATTATATTCATCTCTATTTGGTCGATAGTGGAGAGTCTTGCACAAGAGTCTCTTTCTATCAGATGCTACATATTTTTTGATCTATTGGCAGGAACATCCTAATAAGTAGGGATGTATGCGAATTTGTATGCGTACAGAAGTGAGGGGTTCTCTTATTTTTTTTAGTTTTTAATGACAAAAAAAATCTAATTTATTTACCTTTACATCAATAAGTCCACGGTGCTCGGTGCGAAAGCCACCAATCCTGTGCAGTGCCTCGTTCATTTCATCCGTGATGTGAATTTTGTGGGCCTCACCGGTTGACTCCATGCGTGAGGCTGTGTTCACCGTGTCACCAAATAAGCAGTAGCGCGGCATTTTCGTGCCGACAATACCAGCGACCACGGGACCTGTGTGGATGCCACAGCGAATTTGCAGCGTCCCCGTTGACCGTGGAATTTTGAAAAAAGACGATGCGTCTAGTAAATCAAGCGCCATTGTGGCAATTTCCGAAACATGTTTTTCGCCTGCAAGTCCAGCATACATATATATGTGTGTGCGTATAAACGAAGTGGTATGTGTAGTCCGCCATTGGTTGAGATAGTGAGCCGGATGCGGAAATTATAGTTGGTTGTCAGGGCAAATGCGATGAGTTGAAGAAACAAACAAAAAATGAATGAGAAGAAAGAAAACAGGGGTGTTGCTGAGTGCATAATAATTTTCGCTCGATAGAAGGTTACAATTTTTCCAACAAGTTCATTATTTGCACACCAAGCGCAAATGTGTATAAATTACCACTTTATGTGAGCATATGATAGTTGGTACTTTTGAACTGAATTTGAATGTAAATTAACTGTATATGTATAGACATGTCTACAAATATATCATATGTTTTTATAAGCTTAAATTATGCTTCTGTTAATTTTTGTATAACCTCTTTGAGGTTTTGTTTGCTTCTGCTATGATTTCTAAAGTTCTAAATTTATCCATATACATGCGTGTATACATTCATCATACATATGTCAAAATGTTTGAACAACAGTTACCTACCATTTTTGACTGGTAATCCTGATGCTACCATATAGGAGTCGCCTATTGTCTCCACTTTGTAAACGTCATAGCATTCAATGCGTTCATCAAAAACACGATAAATTGAGTTCAGAAAGGTGACTACCTAAAATATTTTTATTCGGGTATAGACCATATACATATAGATTATATGTAAAATTATGTTTCTAAAAATAAATAGTTGAGGTTAGATTGGAAAAGTGAGGTTAGTTCAAAAATGGTGAGTTTCCAAGTGGATTAAAAGAGATGTACATATGTAAATACGTCCTTATCTTATCTTGTTATTGAATTTCTTCATCGACAGCTTGAAACTAAATAATAATTTCGGACACTCTATTTTCTGTCGGACCTCGGACTTATAAATAACCTTGTAAGAACTGTTCCTAACGAGTTAGCTCATAACTCAATTGCAACTCAAAATAAAATTTGACACGAACTGCTCGCGCAAAAATTTTTGTTTGGATTGGTTCAACCTTTTTTTTTTGCGTGAAGTTTGATCTCCATATATAAATTATTGTGTGAATACGGTGGCTGAACGAAGACTCTCGTTTCGTGCTTAGCCAAAAAGTCAGCCAAAATCATGCTAAACTGTGACGGCGCATTCACGTCTTTTGGCACGCGTCATTCCCTTCTTAACCTAAATGTGTTAAGTCAATCCATAAGAGATGTTGAGATCCACTACTATCTCTCTGATACCAACACGACAATTCATTCATTGTTTCTTTAACTTTTTCGATGTTATCGTCATTAACAGAGGTGCGCACTCAAATACATACTTGCGTTTATGGTAGAGTCGACTGCTAAAAACACTTCTGCAACATTTTCACCGATTCCGTAGTCGTGATTCCATTACTCGTTAAATTTTTTTCAAGGTAAAATCGACAAACTGTCACCTGACAAGGACGCACTAACTGATATATGGAGATCAGACTTTACTCGTCCGGGTCAAGTGTGATCTTGAGTGTATGCCTCAGTTAAAGAGGCTAAGCGCTAATTAAGCCTATAATATCGATGTACTTAATTTAATTTGAAATCAAGAGGAATATTCGGGATATTAGTCGATCTCATCACCTTCTTTTAATATTATATTGGAATACCGAACACGTAAGTAAGCTAATCTAGATAACAAGCTCCCCACTTCTGAATAGCTGGGCGCTGAATAAGTTGAGTGAATGTCGTTAAAGATGTAAAGTTCATTTGGCCACAGTTCTGAAGGGACTCTTTTGCTGAATGCATAAATATTTGTCAAGAAACCTCACCCTTTTTGTATAACCTTCATATACATATACTAAAATTATAGAATGAGTTACCACTAACCTCCAAAGGTGTACATCTTGCAGCTATCTCTGTGAAACCGACGATGTCGCTAAAGTAAACGGTTACAGCTTCATACATTTCAGCGCGTACCTGAGAGCGGAGTAGAATAGTAATGAAAGATATAAAATTATTTGTTATTTAAGAAATTAACTACAAAATATAACTCATATAATGAAAAATATACAGCAGTTTCAATAAATTTAGAAAACATATTCTCTGGCAAAGTTTTCTTAAGCTAGCGCCGAGGGGATCTCCCTTTACTTCTAAGAGTTGGTGCATTCTGAAGGTGTGATAATGTTAACTTTTATGACTTAATTATTGAAATTTCCCATTCCCGCTTGATCATTGTCTGCTATTTGGCAGAGCATTATTCACTTAGATATTCAAATATCAAATGAAATCCTGTATTTTTCTACAACTTATATAATATGTATGACTACACTACTTTCTTCATTTTTGTACCGGTTCCAGAATGGTGAAAACCGAGATTCTTTCACATGTTTACCTGTTGTGTTTGTTTTAGCTGCATGGCAACACTGGGGGGCAGCATTTGGAAAAGTAGCGAATCACTCTTACGTTTCTCCCTCTTCAACTCCTTCGCTTTTTGTGCGAGATTTACAGCATACATCTTGGAGAAAATATCGAAAGAGAAATATAACGGTTATAATGACAGTAAAAAAATATATTATGAAGAAAAAACTATCGCTTTACTAACTATGTCTCATTACCTGTATGGTAGCAGCAGCATTCCTAACTAAAATTATAATAATTGGAGAAACACATAGAACAACGACCAATATAGCTATGCCCACCGCCTCTTTATTAGCAGCCTCCGAGAGAGTTGTATCGACATATTCTCTGTTGGTGCAAAAAAATGATGATTGTACATACTCGTATACTTGTATATATACCATATTATTATATAATATGTTGTTTCAATATTTTTCATAGTTAGTATTGTAGATGTAAATAATATGCGAAGTAAAAACCCACAATAAATTATAGTCAAACGAGTCTCCAGTCTTCTCATCGGTTTGCAGAGATGAAGTTCAATAGACCATTAATGGATAATTTATTTCACCCCTACGGATCCAGACAATCTTTACGAACATAAGTCCTAACATGAACCAGAAGAAATAAAGATTACCGATTGAATACAACGATTTGAGAAAGCTTGAGATTCAAGGTAGTGTCTCTTCTAATTATATCCTAAAATAACTGATATGTTGTCTCTCGTTAGGTACGTAGCGCCATTTATATCCATATCTCTTTCGTTTATTATGCCGGCGATGAAGATAGCCGAGCCGATGCCATTTCGGCATATGAAAGAGATACTAATTCAGGTTGGTGAAGATATCCTCTTCCCAATACACTCAATTCGATTCAGTGAAGAAAGCGCGTTTGTTGAATTTTGTATCAAGTAGTACTGATCCAATAACTGACTCAAAATTGAACGTACAACTTTGGACTCTTTCAAACACTTTTACGATGCGCCGCAACCTTTCCGGTCGAAATTCTAATTTTTTTAATCACCCCGATCGTCAGAGTACCGGTCTCGAAATATTTGACTGGAGAGCATGAGGATTAGGGGGACAAAGTTGAATTGCACTTTTCCGATAAGTAATTTTTTAATTTGACTTCAAAAAATTGTTTTCTCAATTTTTGAAATCTAACTTTTGTTTCGAGCCACCCTAATGAACAATAATTTTCTCAAATGCATACCCTAACAAATATATTTACTTGATTTTAAGCCGTAGCGCCTTTTGTAATATCCGCAAATCATCTGTAAAATTGTGCATAGTGTCGTAATATTGTATAGCATTCCGTTCGTCTGAAACACCTTGTTTGTTTTTAAAAACATTTATATTCCTGTAAAGGAATTAAGAGCAAATTGTACATTAAATATTTTAATTACATAAATATTGTAGCCCTTATAATACTAACATCGCTTTCAGCCTCTTGTATTTGTCGGTCCTGGTTATGTTCATATACATTGGCCTCAAGCTGGGCACATAATTTAGTGTTGAGTTAATGAGTTCACGCGATAAAAACTCGTAGCGAATGAAGGAAACCAGCGCATCCAAGCCCAAGTAACCGCGTCCATAGTATTTAGTGCCAAAAGAAGCAGCAATGTTCTGACACTCAATACTTTTTAAGAGATTTTTGAAACCAATCAGGTAGCTAACGAAGTCACAAAATGATTATATGATAGATAACTGCACTTTCCGATATGTGTTAATTACCGCCATACGCCACTGTTATCCGTTTCCTTAATTTGTTCAGTGAGGTGGTGGAGTAGAGCTCGATTGATTGCCGTGTACCAATTCATAACATCCGTTATTGAACTATCTTCAGGTTCTGAGCGCACACGATCTCTAAATGATATAATTGATATGAAAAAATTACATCTAAATAATAGTATTTTCCAGCTGAAATCCTAGAGTGTTAGAAGTTTAAGGCCGAATCTTCATTCAATATATTATATATCTTTCTGTCTGCTAAGTCCCCAAACAAATAGATGATGATAGTTTTTTACTTTGGGTAATGTTAGATCTATCTATTGAGCATCAAATTTCCTATACTCATATTTATTGAACTGCAGAGTGATGCAATTTTGAATATTATTTTCAACATTTATATCGTAAAGTCATATACACTATTTCTCTTGATCTAAACCTTTGCTAAATGAGTGGAACTGGCCACCGCGCTAAGTTGAAAGGCCGCTGTATCGTATTTAGGTAAATCAAACTATTTAATTTTCTTTAAATGCTTTAACTGACAAGCACACTTAAGCACTCTTCTGTATATGCATATTGTTCGATTCGTCGCAGAGATAAAGTAAGAAATGTGATAGTTTACCAATAGCCTGACTAAAGTCTTTTGATAGGAAGCAGGCTTCAACAAGTTCACAAAGATAATTGTATGCTATTAAAAAAATAATAATAAATCTCTATTGATAAAATTACCTGAATTCATTTAAACGATTTTGAAACTCCGTCCGATTAAGCATAACCTCAAAATCTTCATCTTCATCTGGCAATGTGGGGACACTAACTTCGTTCCATGTTGTCAGATTATTCAAAGCATTGTCAGTTATAGCGAATCTCCGTGTTAAATTTGATCTATTAAAATGATTGATAAATTATGAATTAAGTTTTGATACAAAATAATAAATGAATTCAAGATTTGGCTACACTACTACTACACGCAGATAGCGGTCAGATTATAACTTACTATGGTAAGTCGAAATAGTGACAAATAAAAACTCTTTAACAAATAAAAACTGTCATTGGCAGGGTATCAAAAATTTGTTTGAACAATTTATTGCTTCTTATATCTCAATATGAATGAATAATATAGTCAAGTTTCATGGTATTAAACTCTAACTGATCTCTATTTTGTTCTAAAGTTAAGATATCGTAGATCTGGTACATATGCAAAGAGAACCGCCAGAGTCTACCGATATCTTTAGGAGTTCATATGGTATATTTTTTTCTTGATTAGATAATGTGGGCCAGAAAACTCATAGCGAAAACTTGCCAACCAGTACTACATACTTTGAACTATGAGGGCAATCGAGAAGATATGTACATATACAAGTATTATCTTTTGATGAGCAGAAATTGTTATGATTTTCCTGTGCATTGTGTTTGGATGCAAGGGAAATATAGATCCATGTTTTCTTGTTTTTCAATTAAAAAATGTTAATAGAATATTTGAGAAGTTATATGAGAATTTAATAAGAAACGAAAATAAATTGAACTTATAGCCTGGTTCTGGGATTAAAGTCTAAACCATATAAAAGTTAGCTCACCGTTCTATATTGCCATTGGTGAAGATATAAAAGGACACTTCCGATCGCTCCAGCTGCAGACGGGTCACAACTTTTCCCAAGTTTGTAGCAATTGTTACCTTTTGGTCAAGAGTTAAGTCATTAAATCAAAAGAAAATCATGAAAAATATGAATACGTGTGTTTGATAAACATATATAAAAACTTATATTAACCATAAAAATATGATCTTTGTCCAGTTTCATTATAATTTTCGTAGTGAGTTTGAAGGCAAGAGCTATTTTTGATTTTACTCTGGTTGTTTCATAAATCTATGATCGCTGTTCAAATGTAATCTCTATCTCTCTGTTAATGCGGGCCGGGCCGGGCTAAGTGGTAGATCAAAAATTCATAAAGTTCCTACTCACTCTTAATAAAAGATAATGTGGGAACATGATTGAAATACTCACTGGTCATAGTCTGGTGGCAGTACACGACTACAGAATGGGCTTGACAGATCGAGACTGCTGCAGGAAATGTCAATAGCATGGGACCAGGGAAACAATAGAGCATATCTTGTGCACTTGTCCCGCACTAGCAAGGCAACGCTGAGACAATTGAGGGCCCAATGATATGAGACACTGAAAGAGGAATAAATAACATAGTGAACCCGCAAAAACTATTGAATTTCGCTTCAAACGCTGGCATCCTGAAGGATGACTACTTTTCATGAACTACGTAACGGCACTCCATCTGGCTAAGAACCAAAACTGGTATATGCGTGGATCATGAGCCTACCAGAGTAACCTAACCTAACTTAACCTCTGTCAATGTGATGGAGTTAACATATGGCGTTATAAAGATACGATTTTGTATTTAAAAAACTTCTCAGATAGTTTTATGATTACTTGACTCGATATTGTTTGAACGCGTTAAAGATGGACACCACCAAAGAGAAAATACGCCATATTTTACCGTTTTTCTTCGATAAAGGCGGAAAAGGAAGCCAAACGGTTGAAAATATCGATAAAATATTGGAAATCGTCAAGTCCGAGCTTGAGCTGCTTGTATGTGGATTGGGTCGAGCTAAAGCACAAATACCGTTTGGAACCATTTAAATAAAGCTGTATTCAAAAAGAAGCTCGATACATGAGTGCCACACGAGTCAACGTAAAAACCTCATGGACCAAATTTCCACCTGCGAATCGCTGTTGAATCGCAACAATATCGATCTATTTCTGAAATGGATCGTTATTGGTGATGAAAAGTAGGTTACTTACGACAATATCGACTGTGGCTGAATCGCGCTGAGCCTTCGCAAATGGTGGTCAAGCCACGATTAACGGTCAGAAAGATTGTGTTATGTGTTTGGTGGGATTGGCAGGAATCCGCTACTATTAGCACCCAAACTCTTAATTTGTCCTGTATTGTCACAACTTTGACCGTCTGAAGGAAATAATCCCCCAGAACCGGCAAGCTAAGGTGGGTAATTGTGTTCCATCAGGACAGCGCCAGGGCACACACATCTATAGTGCCTAGCCAGAAATTTCGGAAGCTTGGTTAGGAGGTTCTTATGCATTCAATTTAGCACAAATTGATCACTCCCTTTTACTGTCTAAGACGAATGATTTTGCTGATGAAAAGTTTGTAGAATCGACTATCCCAGTTTGGTTTTACCTATGCTACAATATATAAAACCCTCAAATTAATGCAAAAATAACGGATTTCCTTTTACTAGACCTACATATAAATATATACATATGTCTGCTACTTCTCAGTGTTCATCTGTAAGTTGTACTTAACCTTTCTATTTGATTATCTAATTAATCTTCAACCACTCTTTTGCAACTTTGCTGTACAGCAAAAGCTAAGCTACAAGCATAAATACAAAATAGAATACTTGTGTCTATATGTACAGACAGGCGCGATTGCAGCGATAAATTTTAATTTGTATGTATTGGCTCATCATTCTTTGTACTAGACTAATGAAGATAAAAGATATAGCGGAAAAATCTCTGGAGGGACGTTTGCAAGACGTTTAGTTTTAGGTACAAACCGGTTTAAAGCGTCTACAAAGTGAGAGGGAGATTTTCCCGGGTCTAAATAATTAATAAACAAAACAAAAAACGTTGTGCTTTAATGCCAGTTACATATATGTATATATGTGGTCTGATCTGAACGATTTCTTCGGGGATTGTACAGTTGCTAAGAATGTTTAGCCTAAGCTGTTTAGTTCGTTAGGGTCGTTAGAAAAACGAATGAGTGCCAAATGTCGATTTACAAGATGTGAAAAAGGTCTAAATTTGGCTAAAGAATTAGAACTCCATTTTATTGAAACTGATCATTCAACGGTGCGTAGCGCAAAGTTTAAAAAAGAGTTAAGAAATTGCTTAGCTCCCTTTAGAGAGGTTTTAGTGGAGTTAGAAAAAAAAGGTACAATCGAATACCAATGTGAAGATGAGCCAAGTGAGGAAGACAGTTTGCCTATTAAAAGAATATGAGTTAGGCGACTCAAATTATCTGACAGCGAGGATGAGTGTTGAAAGATTAAATTTTACAAAAGTCTTTCTTGTTTTTGTTGGAAAACCGTTTTTTAGTTTAGTTTTGGTATCATTTCTAATATCTATATAAACTCTTCAATTCAATAAAAATAATTTATAATTTCTCTTGTCTTTTGTGGTCTCCATATAACGCGGTTTGTACGGTTAAATTAAATTTTTTCATCTTTAATACTAGATTAAGGTTAATGAGATGGCACTATCTCATACGTTATCAAGTTACTCATGCCTCCCTATAAATGGTTTAGTGACATTTTTGAATGATAGTTGGTTGGATATTAATGCATATCATTTAGGGAAATATTCTGAGCTGGAAGCTTGAGTTTGAAGTTTATAAAGTTGTAATCGTTTAGATCAGTCGATTAATTACAGTCATTCAATGAATGGGCCTCTCCGATTCATATCACGTTGAAAGGTCGTTAATAACTTTGTTAATACCGGACATCGTCACATTATAGGTTTAACCTTACTTTAAATATAGAAAAAAATTTAGACAAACAGACATTTAATTTGCTAGTAGCAAAGGTCTAGTCGGCAGCATACTGCCAGTAGGAATGAGTTTAATGCTTTCAGGTGATATAAAACCCATCATCACTACCACCAACTTCTTACCATGTTTTCTTATATGAACGAACATACAAACACGTAGGATCTAGCGACAAGGTATCACTCACCTGCGTCTCAATGTCAGCCACTTCTGCTCTGTAGTCGAGAATTTCTTGTAGAATAACTGATGTTTGAACAATCAGCGCAAGTATTGGAATGAATGGTAAAATTATCATCTGAAATAAACAAACAAATAAAAGCAGTAATAAATTCTCATTAATTAATTCAATACACAAAGAGAGAAAGAGAGAGAGAAATTGTTATATATTCAAAAGAAAATAACATACAATAGGCAAATAAAGAGGCAACACCAAGTGCTGTAGTGGGAAAATTTATAAGATGTGTTTGATAGTTTGTTTAATATATGTGGAAACCTTTATAGGCAATTATCATGAGTCGGTGATACGCTTGACTTCTAATTTATTTCCCTCGGAAATATTTTTCGTACAAAAATCTACTCAGAAAGAGGTTTGGTTTATTAATTTTTGCTCTAAAAATATTTATGTTATTTAGGAACTTCAAAATAATCCCATTTCGGGTTTGGTGCAATGAAAAGTATCAAGGAGTAATACCTTGAAGTTTTCGCTACAAAACGGAATTGTCTATACAAAACTTCCTGATTTCTCATACCAATAAATAAAAACTTCACAATAGAACAAAAGTCGTAGATTTTGAGCTTTGAGTGCTCCCTATGGAATTACGGAGCTTATCTATTGATTTCGCAGTTATTTATGACCTAACTAGGCCGTTGTTGACAAATTAATTCAAATTTTTATTGCCTTATTTATTTCTAGAATATTGTCTTAAATGCTCAAGTTGATCCGAGTAATAGTTTTGGATTTACAGCCTTGAAAAGTTGTGCGCCCGAGGTCAGCTATATAAAGGTTGGTTGAAAAATTTCTGCGCTCGAAATGAAAAAAATACTGTTTTTGGTACGATATATATTTTTTTATTCAATATAATCTCCCTTAACTTCAATACACTTATTTCAATGATCCTCCAATAATTTTATGTCATCCCTATAAAAACGCTTTCCACGAAGGAATTGTTTTAGGTTTCTGAAGGGGTAGGTCTCTGGGAGCTAAATCTTGTGAATACGGTGTTAAAACCATTTTTGTTAAATTGTTAATTGTTAAAACACCTTTGTAAGGAGGTGAATGTCTTGATGAAAAATAATTTTTTTGTGCTGCAAACCAGGTCTTTTCTCACGAATTTTTTCATCCTGCTAATCTTAATGGCTGCATAATATTCAGAGTTAATTGTTTTACCTTTCTGCAGATAATCAATCAACCAAATCCCTTTTGCATCCCAAAAAACTGATGTCATAACCTTCTCTGCTGATCGGGACTTCACCTGCTTTGGAGCTGAACAACCAGCTTCAGTCCACTGTAAAAGTTCTTGTTTAAATTTAGGATCATGGTGGCAGATTCACGTCTTATCTATAGTTATAAAACTACGCAAGAAATCGTCAAAACAAAGAATATAATCACTGCGCGATATTAAATTTTTTCCATATCAAAAAAATACTCTGACACGTCAACTTCAAAAGGCTTGTAAACAAAAAATTAACTTGCAACTTTGATGTGTTCTCACGACAGACCTACCAACTTGAGAGAGCAAAAATTTGGAGCTAGAAATGCTATTTCTTGGTGAGTACTACTCACTTTTCAACCAACCTGTTGTCACTTAAAACTTTCAACTCGTTTTTCTCGGAACTGCGTTTTCACAGTTCACAGGTCTTCGACATATAATTAATAAGGTCTTGAACGAAGGATTTTTTTTCAATTACAAATATTTACATTCGAGAAATTTCACCTAAATTGTATTTTTTTGTAAATAGTTTGATGAAAATACAATTTCAATTTTTTTCCTTCGTCTAATACCTAGTTTGTGGTATTGAACACGTAGTTTTTTTTTGTATACTTCAAATAATCCTGTAATAATTTCTACTGTCAACGCGGAGGCTCCTTTTTTCCGAGGAAACGCTGAAAACGACGTCGTAGTGACTGAGTTTTGAATATTTTCCTTTGAAAATTTCCCAACCCTTTGTAAAATATGTATCATTGGAATAATAAAAAGTTTGAATAAAATATTTAATTTTTAATATGAAAAAAAAAATTATAGAAAATAGGCCGTTTCATGCATTGAAATTCGTCATCCAATCGTTAAGTTTTCGGTAATAGATTATCATCCGCCATTTTATCTTGCCGCTATTATCATTTTAGGCACTAATTTGGGTTTGGAACTATAATTTTTAGCCTCTAATGTGTTTATCTACTTTTTCGCGATATATAACAAGATAAATATATCTAAAGCTTACCATAAATCGGATTATCACTTCGCGTAAAAAAAGTTCAGATTTTAAGGCACATCCTATTTTAAGTTCGAAAGTAAATATTGCCATTTGAAGCACTTACTTGCATTAGCTGTATCCGTCGGCCCGTTTTGATTGCCGGATTACGAGCAGCAGCACTGCAGCATTTGCCTTCCACCGTGGTCGAAACATCCTCCGAACTGACTGAGCGTATCGACATTTTATCCAAATGGTTGGACACTTGTATGTTCGGCTGAATGTGCAGATGCTTATGTTGGATGTTATTGTGTAAAGTGTTATAGGTTAGCATATTGTCGTGGTTGGAATGATAGTGCTTTAAATTAGAGTGTGTGCTCGTATTAAGCGTTTTCCCTTCAGGCAGAGGGATTGGAGTTTGAAAAAAACTATTGTCGGTTATGTCAATTCTGATATTCGATAGCCCTGTGCCAACGTCATTTCGTGCCAATTTTCGCTGTGCATCCGCAGAGGTGCTAATAGCGACCTCCATATCTTTTCGTGGGTGACGATCTTGTGTTCTTGGTGGCGTTGCCATCTTTATATGTGGATTTTCTTTTGATTTCTAATAACTGTAGTTATGCTTGTGGTGTTGAAAGCGCGGAAGTACGCTGTTCTAAACTAATTCGAATTTGTTCATTTCCTGTAAGAGAATAAACAGAATTTGTTCTTCTACGGCGCAACACTGGAAACAATTGATATAATTTTTTGAATCTGGTAGTAATAGTTGCCGTAGTGAATGCTTTTAAACACAAGTGAAAAGTAAATAAAAGTAGTAGAAATGGTCAAAAGAAAGCAAATATGTGAAGAATAATTAAGAGGGCGGCCCGATAAGTACTTAGCCTGATAGTGTCAATATCGCAAGAGAAATATACTATCGTGTAGCACATTCTTTGACTCGTAGTTTTGTTTTGACTGCGTGTATATGCAGATTTTAGGGAAATGGAAAGAGAGCAATATCGGTTGGTGAAACCGCGCATTGAAATCAAAGAGTGCTTGGATGTTGTATGCGATGACTCTTCTCCTTCCATAGCGACGTCCAAGAAATGGTTTTGTTTGGTTTTTGATAAGCCATGCCTAAGTGCTCTATCGAAACAACAAATGGGACCGTGCGACCACTTTACAGCAATGTCTGATACTGATTTAGTTTTATGACTGTCGACGACACACAGTTACAAGGTGGGATCACGTATTGTGTACCTACGACGTGACGTGACGAAACGCAAAACGGTCACGGGGCCTACTATGCCGAATTAATAGATCGACTTGATGTCGACTTGGAAAAAACGATCCGATTTGGAAAACAAAAAAGTACTGCTCAGCCATGACAATGCCACGGTTCACACTTTGCTCGCTGTCTGCCACTGTTAAATTGGTTAAATCAGGCCACGAACAGCTTAAACATCCACCATTTACCAGATTTAGCCGCGTGCGGTTTCTGAGTCGAATGAGTAGGATGGCCTAATGAATCAAACTAAAAGTTGTATGCTATGACGGTATCCGACATGCATAGAGTCTTACAAGCTTTTAGCCGCCCGAAAGCTCCTTCCTTTTACTCAAGAAGATTGGGATTTGAATCCAAGTCCTCTAAATCAGTAGACACTCAATCCACCTAATATTATCTACTTCACCAATTGTTAATTAAGCATAATGGCATTTATTATCGTCTATGTTAAGCTTCTAATAACTTCTTACCATTCGAATATTTCTTTCTAAATTTCGCGGAAATGAAAAAAAACGGGTGAGTTCGTTAGATAAGAGTCGATAGCCATTTTCCATAGTAGAGATCAACTTTGTTGCATGTTCTCATGTCCCGATATATTTATATATGTATGTATATATGCATGAGTGCATGGCCATATGCACGCATATGTCATATGTTTATTATGTGATGAATTGCTGTCAAATAGGTTAGCGCGCTGTTCTATGTAGGGCGTATATTTGTATGTAGATCTGGCATGTGCAGTTAGTATCAATTATACAAATTGAAAAAATTGCAGAATGTGGCGCTTACCCACCTACAAACATTTGTAGATATATATATCTATGTAAACTAAGTATCATTTGCTACTATTTTTAGGATGACTCAAGTTAAATTCCCTATGAAACCTTCTAACGGTATTGATGCACGTCATAGCCCTAGGGATGTTGTGTGTTATTAACTTCCGGTAAAAGGCAATGTCAAACTGCCGACGGTTATTTATTATTACCGGTAAAATGTGATGTGAACAACAAGACAAGCGGAATCTCTACAAACTCTAAAGTCGATGAACAGGCATGAGTGAGCACTCTTACCCCAAAAAGCTCACATTAGAAACGTGTTGGACCTCCGCTGTTTTCTTGCGGTCTAGCGGTTTGACGGAATTCTTCTGGTTAGGGATCCAAAGAACTACTTATACTCAGCTAGTTTCATCTTGCAGTTGTTGAGGTTTACCCCGAACATTTTTCAATCATGCAAAATGTTAGGGAGGCAAGGTGAAAAAATGTCTCAACAGATTTGGTATAGACTCAAAACGGTTAGTCGAGGTTCTGTCGATTGATACCTACGAATTCTGGGTATCGCAAAGGACCTATGTTTAAATTGTCTAATTGAAATTCCTGTAACGTATACATTTATACATTTTATGTCAGAGTGGGTGTATATGTATTTCATAACCGTAACATAACCGCAAACTTGCGGTCATATATCCTAATATATATCTATGTATGTATATGTTTTATTGATGTATGTCTATAAATCTTTGAAAGTTTCTTGAATACGATCTACATTTCACTTTTGTTTGGTGACTTGCTGCTGGCCAACAAAGATAAAGGGAAGGCCCCAAAGCTTTTACTTCGCGCTGAAAGTTTTCATAGCTTTTTAAGTGCTTTTATAACAGAAATTAGCTTTTGGTATTTGAAATTAACTACAGATTGACTAAAATTCAATAAAAAAATAAGTAAAAACGTTAACTTTGGTTGCACCAAAACTATAATACTCTTCACTTATAAAAGGTGCCATACGAGAACTTGATTTTGATCGGTCAGTTCGTGTGGCTGCTATGAGATTTAGTGGTCCGACCTGAAAATTTTTTTGTAATTTGTGCCATTGCCTTGGGCAATAATCCATATCAAATTTCGTGAAGATATCAAATAAAGTTTTTCATACAAGCACTTGAATTTGATCTTTCAGTTTGTAAGGCAGCTATATGCTATAGTAATCCGATATCTGCAGTTGCGACTAATGTGAAGCTTCTTGGAGAGAAAAGGACGTTTGCAAAAATTCAGATCGATATCTTAAAAACTGAGGAACTAGTTCGCGTATATACAGACAGACAGACGGATGTGGCTAAATCGACTCAACTCGGTATAATAAACCCAACGATTACCCTCCTCCCGCCCAACCGACGCGAGGGGCGCAATCCGCATACGTGCGGAATTAGCCGAGTCAGAAAAGGCAAGAGAGTTTTTTAAGTGTTGAGATCTAAAACTGCTCAGCTACAGAAACAAAAATTTCAACAGCTAAGATCTAAAGTTACAATGTAATAATTTGTTACATTTTCATTTATTAAGAGAAAACAATAAAGTCTTTTTAATTTTGAAAAGTGAGTCAGATAAGTTAAATGTGCTGGAATGAGAATTAAAATCATGACATATACGGCGGAATGGCTCGTTTAGTTCAAAATTTGATCTACAGGATTTTAGCAGTAAAGGTCTAAACTGCCTCGAAAGGTGAACTGGGATATTAAATTTAATTTCAGACAGGAGAAAAGAACTGCAAACAGTTCCATTCAAAAGTTTCACTAAGAATATTATGACAAGCATTTCTCTACGACTAGAAAGTGTAGGTAGATTAATAAGTTTTAAACGACTAGTGTATGGAGGTAGACTTACCCTAGCATCCCATCGGAAATTCGCTAAGGCGAAAAGTAAAAATTGTTTTTGAACCGACTCTAACTTGTCAGAATGGATTTGGTAGCTAGGGTTCCATACCACAGAGCCATATTCCAATATAGGTCTAACCAAAGTTGTATAAAGTGTTTTAGTAATATACGGATCTCTAAATTCTTTAGACCAACGTTTAACAAAACTGAGGACAGCTTTTGCTTTCAAGACCATGGTATCAATATGAAGACTGAAATTAAGCTTAGGGTCAATATTAACTCCCAAATCAACATAATATTATGCTGATAATAATTATAGGATCTCCCGCGTTTTCTTCTGGGTGTTACAAGATTCGCGAAAAACTTAATACCCCGCTCAGAGTATAATTATTTCAAAACTTTCCGCGGTATTTTTTGCCAGTCAACTCTACGAGTCACCCTAGTGATTAGTCCTGGCACTCCTTCCTCAAACGATCTATTTGCGGGAAGGTTATCTAAAGTGTATTGCCCTTTATGAAAACAGCAAACTATATCTGTTAATATAAACATATATATGTATACCATATACATACATATATATATTATATATTATAGTATATGTACATATATACATATGTGTTACTGCCGGGATGACTAGTTTTTCTCCCAACCAATCAACTCATCAAAGGTGATTATGGTGAATTCTGCTCTTAGCTATCCACATGTGACACTTATGTATATACATACAAGTATATGTCGATATGTACATATATCAATATTTGTGCGTAAAAACACAAGGCTAAACAAATAGTACGTTGTGTATTGCACGAAGCTTGTCTATTGCCTCTCCGTGGGGTGGGCGTGTATACATATGTACAAGTATGTACGTATGTCGTATATACTTAGGTGTGTCATTATTTAGAATCATAATCATACATATGAATGCGTGATAATTCGTTTGATTAAAAACAGAATTACATTGAAAGCTACATTTACCGCGTTTGCACTTCTGTACTTTTTCGCAATGACAAGTGATGCAGCGACTGTTTTCATTTAAGGCTGCTGATTATTATTGTTCGCAATTTCATTTAAATTGCATAGTGTTTGTGTTAAACTGACTTTGTGTCACACATTTGTAGCCTGTATTTTTATACTCTTGCAACATGTTGTTACAGAGTATAATAGTTTTGTTCAACTAACGGTTGTTTGTATCTCCTAAAACCAATCGAGATAGATATAGAGTTATGCATATAGAAATTATCAGGATGAAAAGACGAGTTGAAATTCATTTGACTGCCTGTCCGTCTGTGCGTGCAAGCGATGAATTAAGTGAAAGTTGAGATAGCTTGACGAAACTTGGTACACAAGTTCCTTGGCACCCGAGTAGATTTGATACTGCACAAAACGCCATTAATCGAAAACCTTTAAAGTGCTATAACTAAACTCCAAATATAGATTCAAAACTGTAATTTCGTGCGGTATATTAGAGTGCTGAAGGGCATCTTTGGTTGGAAAATCTTTAAAAAGTGGTCGTGGCCGAGCCCCCTAATAGGTATAATGTACATATATTCCACCCACTTAAGTTAAATCAACCAAACTTACTCACAGCAAATCTTTTTGGAATCCCCTTCGAAAGTATAAAAATAGTTTAAATCGGATTATAACCCCGCACACTCGGATCTGATCGGATTCAGAGAAATCAGACTACAACCACCCCGATTTTTCATATAACACAATTTTAAAATACATCTTATTATTTCACTTTCCAGTATACAAATCAAACACTAATCAATGATCACCACCAGATACCGAATATGAGGACCCCAGATCCAATTGCGAACTTCTTATCAAAAATATCGGTTACATCCGAAGACTAGTCTTTTAGTAGATTTGTGTTTGATAAAAAAAACTTGCATTTACATATTTATTTAAAAATATATACAATATATGAAAAATCATATGATGAGTTAGGTGAAATAAATCGTTGAATAATATATTTCGATATAATTGAAAGTATGAACCGTTTCTTATTAGTTATAAATGTTGCTGATAAAAATTGAAGGGAAACCTAATTTATATTTGCTGTTCGATGAGCAAAACGAGAGCTTAGGTTAAAAAATTATCATATTATCATATTAAAAAGTTTCGCATATAAGCACTTGATTCCGATTGTTACGTTTGTATAGCAGGTATATGTTATGGTGGTCCGATATCGGCCGTTCGACCAAATGAGTAACTTCTTATTGAGAAAAGGACAGGTGCAAAACCTGTGAACCTATAAAATAAAATGTCTAACAAAAGGCTGGTTGTTGATTTTTCAGTGAAAAATACTAATAATTTATCGATTGTACTTCGGACCACATTATTTAATAGCTTTAAATATTCCAAAAACAGCATTGTAGAAATCAGTTGTAACAGTATTTATACGCTGACCAGGGCATATTAAGTTTTCCTCGAAGTTTGTAACATCCAGAAGAAAACCTTATAAAATAAAAATATTATATACATACATAAATAAATGATCTGCTTGACGAGCTGAGTCGATTTAGCTAAGTCTGTCTGTATAACGCGAATTAGTCCCTCAGTTCTTGAGATATCGATCTGAAATTTTGAAAACATCCATTTCTCCCCAAGAAGCTGCTCATTTGTCGGAACCGCCGATAAGGGACCACTACGCATGTAGCTGTCATACAAACTGATGGATCAAAATCAAGTTCTTGTATAGAAACCTTTTTTTATTTGACAAAATATCTTCACGAAATTTGCATGAAAATTGTTTAAATCGAACCACTACAACATATGCTGCCTTACAAACTGAACAATAAAAATCATTGGTATGGAAAATTTTTTATATGAGAAGGGTAAAATAGCTTCGGTGCAACCGAAGTTAATGTTTTTTTCATATTTCAGTTTACAATAAGGTGTAGTAAAATGAAAGAAAGCATAGTTATAATGTTCTGATTTTGGTCAAATATGTTTCATGTGCGATTACTTGTTGCCATTTTGAAGATATTTTTATAATGCCACTTTCATAGATATCCTCGTTCCAAATGGGTCCTGTTAATACAATTTCAGTTATGTTGAAGGTGTGGCTACAACTCCGACTAGTAGGGTTTTGCTTTTAAAAATATTACTTTATAAAAATTTATTTATATTAATAATACTTAAGTTTTTTAACATTATAGAATACTTTTTTCATGTTTACACACATTTTTATTAATCACTTACTCTTTTTGAAGATTATTTAATTTTTTCATCAAATTAAACACATAATTTAAATATTACACATTATTAAAAAATTATAAATTTTCAAAATTTCGGAAATTAATGAACCTAAAATTTTCCAATTGAAGGCAAATACCGTAAGTCAAAATTAGTATAAAACAAGAAAAAACGTTAACTTAATTAAGTTAAGCCCTTTACAAATACAAAATGTTCCTGACAAGAAGTTGATACCGATCGTTCAATTTGTATGGCAGCTATATGATATAGTGGTCTGTTCTGAACAATTTCTTCAGAGATTACATTGTTGCTTTAAATAATAATCCATGCTAAATTTTGTTAAGTTATTTCGCGAAATAAAAAAGTTTCGCATATAAGCACTTGATTCCGATTTTTCCGTTTGTATAGCAGGTATATTTTATGGTGGTCCGATATCGGCCGTTCGACCAAATGAGTAACTTCTTATTAAGAAAAGGACAGGTGCAAAATTTCAGATCGATTGCTTAAAAACTGAGGGACTAGTTCGTATTTATACAGACAGACAGAAGGACAGACGCACATGGCTAAGTAAACTCAGCCCATCAAGCTGATCATTTATGTATATATTTTATAGGGCCTCGGAAGTTTCCTTCTGGGTGTTACAAACTTTGTGGCAAACTAAATAAACTAATAAATTCTCACGATATTTGGGCCTACGTAACCGTAACGGATCCAGATTTTCATTGGGTCAGGTGCTGTCAACATGGCAGTATTCCTCAAAATTTTTTTGGGAATATTTCTGCTGCTACAACAACAACAAAATTAATATTTTTTTGTATACAATTTTATTCCTCCATTTTATATTGGAAAGTTTTCTTAAATAATTTCTTGTAACATGAATTGAAGCTTAAGTATTTGAATACTTTACATAATTTGTGCTTTAGTCCACTTATTTATGTATGTTATCCATACATTTTTATAATCATTTCCTGACCTTTTTTTATATGTATATGCTTATATAATCTGCTGTTTAATTTTCAGTATATTTAAACAAGTAAAGATATATATATTATACATACGTCATTGAAGGGTATAAATTATTTTTCTGTACAAATGACATCGATATCAACAAATAATAATAGAATTTATGGGATTTTACTTTCATTTCATCAAATAATTAACTTTTTTGTAATTTTAGTTAACCATATTTTTTATTTACAATAACACTTCAGTTTGAAGTAAAGTGGAATAAATCGGCACAAATATAATATTTAAGTTGTTTAACAAAATATTAGAGTATTTTTAATAAGGTATAAATATCTATACTTATATCCTTTGCATGTTTATTGGCAACACTTTGTTTGCAAAAGTACAGCACAGTTGTAAATCTTCTTTGATTGCTTTCAATTTTATTATCCTTCCATTTTTCACATAAGAAAATATTTGTATAAATCCACTCTAATATTTACCCAAAATTTTTGCACTCAAATCAATAATTTCTAAAATTTTCCACTTTAGTTTTTTCCTTATTTTTGATTAACCACACACGAAGAGGACACGACAGCAACTGAGGATAAACTTGTTGCGCTTTTCTATTTATACGCAAAGGATAATGCTTGTTGGAGCTACATACACACACTACTGAGTGTCATTACTTGTGTGTTGGGTATAAATTACAACACTTGAATCAAAGTGGACTATTTACCATATTATATTTAAAAAAAAATATTTATAATATTAGGTGTATAGTAATTTTTCTTCTTGGAAATCGAAATTCATAATTGAATTAATGAATGAGTTTTGGTTTCTGAAGTAATATGAAGTAATTATAGGCAAGATACCAATCATCAATTTTAAGTTGGTTGGACAGACGAAAATCAGTATACCTGTTATATGTAGGTTAGAGAAAAATATCCACTAACTCTATATACCTTTTACTCTCATAGAATATATACGAGTATGATAAAATTTTGTTATGCAGAGGACGATTAAATTTAATTAATTGAAGTTAGATTTTCAATTTTAAACCCCAAAATCCCATTTAATCCAGTTTTTGGGATTACTAATGTAATATTTTCAATTCCGTATTTTGTTTTTTATTTTTTAATCAGTTATTTGGGATTAAAAAATTAAAAATTATTGTTAATTAAGATTATGGACAATAAAAAAAATTGAATTCAAATGTTACTTCGATTATTTTTTTTTTCAATGCATCATTGGCAACGCTGTATGTATGGTTGAATATCTAATAAAAATTCTGAATATTTAGAAATTTGCCGTTAGATGTGAAATAAATGAAGCAACATAATATTATATATAACACAGAATAAAATAAATAAAAAATAGCAAGACCCTGAAACCTGTATATTTTGCAATGCTTTAACATTTACAGATTTAACAATTGTCAAATATTTATCTCCAAAAATAGACTTTAGTACAAATCCTTGAATCCAGAAAAAATCAAATTAATAACGGACTTAAATTTGAGCAACATTTTCTTGAACATGTGAAAGTCAGTTTTGCGACATCTGTTGTGAAATGAGAATAGCACTAAACAGTCAGCAGTGTTGCCGTTCTATGTGAATTTATTCCGTTAAATTTCGTAAATGTTTTCTCCGCTTATAACGAATTTAATATAAGCTAGACATTTATTCAAATATTTTTCAATCTATAAATAATTAATTATTAACAATACAACCAGAAATTTGAGTACAAAATATTTAAAATTATATATGGCATCAGTGTAGTTATCGATAAATGCTTTAAGCCGCTTTGCCATCCTTATATATAACACTTTGATGAAAATAAACAGTAAATTTTATCAGTGACACGAAATGAAGAAAGTTTTGGTAACAGGTGGCACAGGTTTAGTGGGTAACGCTCTTAAAACAATTATTGATAAAAGTGCAAATGGAGATGAATGGATATTTGTAGGATCGTCAGAAGCCGATTTAACGTAAGTACACTAACACTTGACTTGCAATCTTATCACTTAAGCATACTTACCAAAAAAAATTCAGTGCCAACAATGCAACGCGAGCGCTATTTGAGCGTGTCAAACCTACCCATGTCGTGCATTTAGCAGCGATGGTTGGTGGCCTCTTCCATAATATGAACAACAATTTGGACTTTCTGGTAATTTTGACATATGTATATATAGCTTCAATGTACAACCTTTATTAATTTTTACTAATTTAGCGTAGAAATCTGCAAATAAACGACAATGTACTACAAAATGCTTATGAACATGGCTGTGTGAAAGTAATATCCTGCCTTTCGACATGCATTTTTCCTGATAAAACCAGTTATCCAATTGACGAGACAATGGTGCACAATGGCCCGCCGCATCCTTCCAATTATGGTTATTCATATGCGAAAAGGCTCATCGATATACAAAATCATGCATATCATGATAAATACGGCTGCATTTTCACTTCAATAATTCCGTGCAATATCTTCGGTCCGCATGATAATTACAAACCTGAAGTGAGCCATGTCATACCCGGTATGATCAATCGCATGTACAATTTGATACATGAAAATACAGAGGTGCCGGAATATGAGAAAGCGTTTGTTGTGTACGGAAGTGGTACACCATTGCGACAGTTTATATATTCACTGGACTTGGCGAGACTAATAATTTGGGTTTTGGACAACTATGACAGTATAGAGCCACTGATTTTGAGTGTGGACGAGGAAAATGAAGTGACAATTTACGAAGCTGCAATGGCTGTGGCGAAGGCGTTTGATTTTAAGGTAAGTAATTTTTAAACAAATAAAAGTCTTAAATTTTGTTTTTACTAATTTTTTGTTTTTTATTTTTAGGGCAAACTTATTTGTGATACTAGCAAAGCTGATGGTCAACATAAAAAGACCGCTTCGAATCGGAAGTTGCGTAGTTTATTACCAAATTTCCAATTCACCGACTTTGAGGAAGGCGTTAAAGCATCTGTTAAGTGGTATATTGATAATATAGAAAAAGTTAGGAAGTAATTACAATTTATTTATTTATTTCGTTTTCTTTGTAATGCTTTTATTTTATTTTGTCTATGCACATTTTATCTTTTGAAGAAATATTATGTACAAAAAAGCTTTGTAAAAAAAAGTTGTTGTTTAAATAGAATGTATTCGCATACATATGTATGTACATACTAATATTTTTAATAAATTGCAGTAATCATTCAAAGTAGTCAATATTTAAAGCGTTATAAAGTCGTACTTCAAGATGCTATGACCTCATTATCTGCAAATATTTTAAACTAGCAGGTAATCACCGAAAATTATTCACAACCTATGCTGTTATGATAAAAGAAAACAAGAAAAAACGTTAACTTCGGTTACAACGAAGCTATAATCATTTCAAATAAAAAAGTTGATTTAGATCGCTCAGTTTGTATGGCAGCTACATGCTATAGCAGTCTGATCAGAACAATATATTATTATATATACAATATTGCATGTAAAATTTCGTGAAGATACAAAGTTAACAGTTCTGCGCCGAATAAAAATTCGGGTCCATTTCGGTTACGTGGATGCGACAATCGTGACAAGAACTCTGTTGTTGTTGTAGCGGCTGAAAACATTCCAGAAGTAATTTGGAGGAATGCTGCCGGTTTGACAGTTCTTGGCCGGATAAAAATCCGGGTACGCTCCAGTTACGTAGACCGGACTGTAGTGGGGGCGGGACAACGACTCATTTTCTTAATGGTTAAACTCCCATAGATTGATGAAAAAGTGTGGAGCGATAGGCATTATAAAAATATAATGACTGCAACAACAGCAACATTCAATTTAAATTTTATTGCTTGCTGTTGCTATAACTGATGATAGTTCTTGCCTGAATATAAATATCGGTTGGTTCCAGTGACTTTGACCCAACAATTGAGAAAACGATGTGAACTCCCTTTACTTTAATCCCTCATTCCAACAACAAAACACTGTTCGTATTATTTATTATTATATAACATGTTTTATATATTTAAATACATTTATCATATACATATTTTACATAAATTTTACATAATCTCATACAATACAATATTAGTTATAAATATTTTATTCATATAGGAGTCATTTGCTTTTTGTGTTTTTTGTTTTGCATTTGGGGAAATCGTTAAAATGCAAAACGATGATGAAACAAGATTATAAGAGAGCTTAATCATTGAATCAGGCACATAATAGTTATGTACATAAATACTAAATTATATTTTATTTAAACAAAGCGAAAAAGTGTACCGAACTCAATGCCTGCGCGGAAAATTCTAGCAGTTATTCGATTATCGTAAATTTTCCTATACACTTAAGTTCATTACACGATAGTGGCATAAAACTAAGGTTATGATAGAATAATTATTTAATTTTGATTTAATGTAATATTTAATATAAAAAAAATATCAATGAGAAATTACGCATGGAAAACGAAAACAATGAAATAAAATTTACTTAAAATCTTTAAAGAGCCGAATTTGACACATTTCACCAATTTGAATTGAACTTAACGGGTTAAAACTATTGAGATTTTTGTTTTTTAATGCTTAAAGCAAGAGGTTAAATGCTCTAGGCGCACAAACACACATGTACATATGCATGTATGATTTGTTGTTGTTGTGGTGGTGGTGGTGGTGGTAGGAATGTGATACTCGTGTTTAGATGTTGGGTGTATAATGTCGATTGATATTTGCTAAACTAAGGTCACTCAATATTTCTTAAGTCTTTTCGCCTAAAGCACTTTTTACACACGTCTCTTCTTGAGCAGTTTGTCTTTGTTTTGTAGTGTGAAGAAACCGTTAACCCATTTGAGATCGGGTTTCGAGAAGCGTACAGTTTGACCATCTCCACAGGCATTCTCAGCGGCGTATATACCCTTGAGCATAACACTGGAACCGCTGCCGCAGGCTAAAGCGCTGCCGATATCAAACAGACATGGATCGTGTACAACGGAACTGCAAACGCTAGTCTCGTCGGCACCGCAATCTGCCCGCGATTGTGCTATTGTGTCTGAAACGTGCATGACGGCGCCCTCCTCGTGAGCTGGAAGAAAAAATTTTTGATGTTAGTGAAATTTTAAATAAAACTTGAAATTTTGTGCTTTCAATGGAATATTAGAAAAAAAAATTGTAGCAGTTTTAGGAACTTACTTTTTACTAACTACTCTTATGGAATGACTCAAGTCATTTTGTTTGAGGTCCTTTTATTGAAACACGACTCCTATGAAAAAATATTTTATCTATTCAAAATGAAACTCCACTAGGGGGGCCGAACCGACACCTTGACTAAGAAACTCAAGTAAAAGTCACAGTTCAACTACTATATTCGCAACATTTGAACAATTAAACAGTTTACTCCACCGGGGTCGTGACATTAGTCGACTGAAGCCATTAAAATAAATAAATTGAAAATTTAAAGATCTATTGTGAAAGGTGGTGGCTTTACATCATGACTTTAAGGAAATGGCGAAAATGGAGGATTTCTTTGCAAGGGAAGTTGGTCTAGCCATGAAATGATATCACAAAAAGAGTCCTTGAATCTGGTGAGATATAGATTTCTGACGTCTAGTAACCTCTATGCAAGGGAGTGAAATATTTAAACTGGAATGGCTTTGGACCTAACTACATTAACTATGTTTTCTTTCGTAAAAGTAACTCACTCTTTGATCGAGGTGGGTCTTATTAAGTAAATCAGATACACGAAAACTAGTAATGCTCCGTTAAATGAGATGATTATGTTCTTAAACTGTATTTAATATTCACAAAATTACCTATTATCAGGTTACCCTACGTGTCCGACTTCCAAAAAAATTAATTTTTCGATCAGTTGGTGTAATTACCCTGTTACTCAAACATTATTTCTACTCCATCAAGTTTTTCTATTTGCTATTAATTTCTATCCATCTCGCATTTGCTTTCTTTGCTTTAATAAAATACACATCAAAACCAAAAGTGAACTTACATTTAATCGCTTGTTTACCCCAACCGGTGGTAATACATTTCTCATTGGGCTTGGGATCTTCATTAGTAACGCAAATAGGCTTCACGTGTTGAGCGAATTCAACTCTCTTATCCAAACGTAAAACGGCCATGTCATTCGAGCCTGTTGAAGGATTGTATTCAGGGTGTATATCAATGGACTTAACACCGACAATTTGGAAGGGTAGCGGCTCGCTATCACGCCCCAACTCCCATTCACCGCCCTTAACTTTCACATCATTTGGCGACACACTGTATGAAAGGGTGATTTTTAAAATTCAAGTTCTCTTAAAAATAATATACACTCAATTAATACCCTTTAACTACGGAGGCTGCTGTCAAGACGATTTGGTCGCCAATAATTGCGCCCCCACCAAGTAGAGTCTTGGTCGATTCCTTGAGGATCATTGCTTGCCATGGAATTTCACCAAAGTTGGCGTCAATATCTTGAATACCTTGCGGTTTGGTGTTCTAAAATTAAAATAAAAACATGAAATTAATTTTCAAAATTGAAATCTGGACCGCGAATGTGTTGCTAACCCTATTTCTGGCTGCGCATACACCGGCCAAATTGATGGGCCATGGATCAACATAGTTGGCGTCACGACAGCATTTGCCTGGTGCTCCGTTATCAAGCAAACAATCGGTGAGAGGAACACGGAAAGCGGCTTCGGCAGGGCTAATGTCGACTGGCTGATCGGTTATCACGCCGATGCTGTTGCAGAAGTTCTCCTGTGTGCATTCCAAAGCCGAGGCACATTTCGACAAGTGTTGACGGTTGTCAAGTGGTAGCGAGAGAATGTCTTCACCGCGCTGTGGTGGCGTTGGCTGTGGTACTCTTGGTGGGGCAGCGGTCACAGTTTGGATGACGGTATTCGATGATTGTGTGACATGATAGTCGACCGGTAGGTTTTCAGAGCGTGGCGGTAAGTATTCATTTTGTGGTCTGGAAGCAGGTTGTGGTTGTGGACGTGGTTGTGGCTGAGGTTGAGGACGAGGTTGAGGACGAGGCTGTAGAGGCACCTGTGGTGGCTGAGGTTGCGGTTGTGGACGAGGCTGTAGAGGCTGCTGTGGTGGCTGAGGTTGCGGCTGTGGACGTGGCTGTGGCTGTGGTTGAGGTTGTGGTTGTAGTGCTGGAGGAGCTCTAGTTGGGATGGGGACTGGTTTGTAGGAAGATTGTGTGTATACTTGACGCGGGGGTACAGTTGGTGTAGGTGGTAGATATTCATTGCGTGGGGTTACGGGTTTAGGTGTGGTTGGATATGTGCTTGGTGGCAAATATTCACGTTGTGGGGTCGATGCAGGTAGACGTGGTGAAGAGAACTGTTGTTGTGTAGTTGGATATTGAACGGGTCTATTTGTTGTGGGAATGGTAAATTTAACTGTTGGAGTTCGCAGGACATAACCATCATCGGTCAGTGTGGTGGAAGGTATGCGACAGCAAACATCAGGAGAATAACAACGATCGCTCTGTAATAAAACAAAGAAGAAAACATTTTTTTCAAATTGTTTCTTTTTTTGTCGTTCTACTTAATATTTGTAATTATTGTATTGTTGTCAGGTTCAAAAAGTGAAAAGTGATAAACTCTGTCAGAAGGTGTTCACAGTTCCTGGTTAAGGGCGTTTTTTGATTGAAATTCATTTTTATATTATTTAGCTAAATATCGGCGAGTTTCGATCACATGTGTCACTAAAAACTTATAGAACAAAATTAAAAACTCCCCAAATATGTAGCATCTCGACCAAACCCTTTGCACCGACAAACATAAAAAGTTAATTTAAATAAAGTAGGTAGGAAATATTAGATCTTTTTAGAACAGGTATGTGATTGTAGTGATGTAGAGATCAAATTTATCATAAACACGTGGCTTCGTTGAGATATCGTGCCAATTTTCCGAAATATTAGCCATTCGATTCGTGATTTCTTTGCCTGTTATGTTTGAGTTTATCTCAAACAATTTGCTAGTGACAGCAATAACAAAGTTGTTGTATATTTGATTTGTATCAGTTGTTTGTTCGATTTGTCATACTTCAATGTTCAACGAATCGAGACGACTATTTGTATATAATATTTATACCCTGAACAGAGTATATTAAGTTTGAAAAGAAGTTTGTAACAACCAGAAGGAAACATAGGATATGTATGTACTCGTATATGTATAAATGAACAAAGTGATGAACCGAGTCGATGTAGCCATGTTCGTCTGTATTGTATACGCTAACTAGTCTCTCAGTTTTTAAGATATCGATCTATTTATAGAAACCGTCGATATTGTACCACTATAGGATATAACTGCCATACAAACTGATCGATCAAATACGTATCCTTTTATGGAAAGCTTTTTTATTTGACAAGATATCTTCTCGAAATTTGGCATGGACTATTACCCATGATAACGGTACAATCTTCAAAGAAGCAAATAGCTGTCATACAAGCTGAACGATCGAAATAAAGTGCTTGCATGGAAAACTTTTTCATTTGACTGTCTTCACGAAATCGGTCATGGATTATTACGAAAGCCAAGGGTATAATCTACGATGAAAATGATCAGATCGAACCACTATAGCATAAAGCTCCAAAACAAACTGCTTTTATGCTATAAGAAATGCACCTGTGAAGGGTATTATAGCTTCAGTGCAACCGAAGTTAACGTTTTTTCTTGTCATATTTTTTTTTTTGCTTTATACGATTTCAATAAGCTTGCTTTATTTCCAACAAAAATTCGATAACAAATTTTACAACCAAAAAGCATTCAATTAACCAAAATGTTTGACTGATCATTATGGGCAAATATGCCACAAAGGGATCGATGATTATTTCATAAATAATTTTTGTAAGTACCTGCGCCCGCTTCATAAGCATATTATCTTAATTGAATAAGTCTTTAAATGTAAATATAATATGTAGAAATGTGTAGGTACTTGTATCTGTCGGCATTTCTGGGCACCCGTTCATATGTCTGTATGTATGTAGGCGAGCATAATAAAAATTACCTCCTTGGCATTTGGCATAGAGCTTTTTTTAATAAATGATCCATCATTTTGGGGACAGATAACAAATGCCGTAATGACTTTAAGAAAGGTTGTTAATTTTCTCACCATTTTTTCGTTTTTTCATGTTCTGCGACTAGTTTTTTGTTTACAATAATTTACTTGCCAATTGTATGTATGTATATGATAAGTAAGTGGCCATGTCAGCCACTGTGCGCTGTCTGTCTGTCTGTCCGTATGTACGAATGACAAGATTGAAGTAGGCATTTTAAGGTAATTTGTTAATAGGGGTTATTTTTAATGGCATTGTTAAATGACATCCAGCTGCTTAATGAAGTTGTTCAGAAGTCGTACAATGGCATATTGGTTAGCTATACACACACATACATATACAACGGACATACAAAAATGCACACGCACATATAATCGCATATTAAGTAATTTTATGCTTATCTGTCAGCTACTTTTGCATACATATTTATTAATTTACAATCATACATACATACACACATACATATGTATATATTTACATGGGTGTGCACATAATTGTTGTGTATTTGCGAAAATATAATGTGAATTCCATTAAAGTGTGGTGTTTCAGTTGACCCGTGGCCGTGTATGGATAAATTGGCCTAAGTATGCATATGCAATAATAGATATTTATATACATATACACCTACATATTTAGGTGGGCGTTGCTATTGGTCGAATGCTCGAATTCAAATGGAAAACTTCAACTCGTATTAAATTTGTGGTAAAACCTTTACTGGGTGTTTGACTGACCTTCTAAAACTTACCTTAAAATACAAATTCTTTTATACGAAACACGCTAGAAGCTTTAAGCAGCAAAGTTTTAAAAGAACCTTAAACAAATTTCAACTTTTCGTTCAGCTTTGCTTAAGTACTTCATCACATTTTATAAGCAAAGACCAAGATATATCTATGTCGCTTTTATAACCGATCAATAAAGTATACAACCAGCAATAAAGCAAAAAAAAAATATATATCTGATTCTAGAAATGCCGATAACTTATTTCCTCTTGTACTCAATTTGTATGCAGTGTCTACTCATTTATTGTATAATAATCAGTATAGTGTTTGCTTTCGCTCATTAATAATGGTGTCGGGAGCTAAAGAAAGTCGTATTGTGGTGATTGCTTTACACAAATTTTCCACATTTATGAGGGCAAGAGATATATAATATATGACCTTCTCAAAAAACTTAATGTTTCGAGAATATTTGTTTACCGCACTATAGATCGTTTTTCCCAAACGTCTATAGTAGATGACAAAAAGAGAAGAGATCTTCCGCTCGTGGTTTAAACCAATTCAGCCATACAACTCCTTTGAAATCCGGAAGTTAAATCAAGGAATTGGACATATGACCAGATAAATGTCAAGACTGATTTTTCTTGAAGCAAATTATGCTCAACATATGAAAGCGGCTACTTCAATGGCACGCGGTCAACGGCCATGAAAGTATCGCTTTTACAGATGAAAAAAGTTTATTGTTGAAGAAGTTTTTAATAAGAAAAACAACAAAATCTTCGTAAAAACTTCCAAAAACGCAAAAACTTTTATCCCATGGGATCAACGTGGTCACCATCCAGCTGCTGTAATGGTGTGGTTGGGAGTCTCTTGCAAAGGCGTTACACCTCCTTCACTTGTGTGGAAAGGGGTTTAAAACTGAATCAAAAGTGTACCAGCAGGATGTTTTAGAAGACGTGGTAAAGCAGTTAAGCAATACTATTTTCGACGGAGTGCATTAGATCTTCCAGCAAGATTCTGCTCCAGCACACAAGGCAAAAACCACTCAGCAGTGGCTTAAAAGCAATATTACTGGTTTTATAGATGCTGGGAGTCCAGACTTGAATCCTTTGGACAGTTTGTGATCAAAGTTGGACAGACCATGTTGTCAAAAAATTCTACAGAAATTTGGGGAGTCTCAAAAAATCTTTGGTTCGATCAGCGTCGGCCATAACAATAGAAACTGTAAGTGATGCTATTGATCAATTCTGGAATCGTTTGAGGGCTTGTGTGAAAGCATAAGGTGACCATTTTGAATAAACTTTGTGCATCGCTCATTTCATATATGCATTTTTATATAAAATAATTAAATAATTAAAAAATATATTTTAGTTTCATTTTTATAACAGCCTGAACTTGTCATAGAACTTGTGGCAGGAGTAAGTACACAATAATATTAAAAGTATTGGAATTCTATAGGTGACAATAGACTTAGCTGACCATTCGTCCCGGTTTGGCCGGGTCAGACCGGATTAAGACTTAAGTGTCCCGGCCGTCCCGTGCTTACAAATTAAAAAAAAATGAATGAATTGAATAAAATTGTGTTGCTCTCACCCATTATATGCCGCGATTTTCAGTGAATAACAATATGGAAAAAGTCAATGACTAAAAAAATGGATAAAATAGTCACCTAACTATAGACGGAATACTTTTAACAAAAGTATTTGAAAGTTTTTTGTAGATGCATTAGCTTTGGCTAAGTTAGCAGGGGTTGATTTTCGATCGGATAATGCACTTATACAATTTCAAACATGTCACAAATCCGCTTAGACGACTAAGGCCACTACAAAAAAATAAACCAATGGATGGTTAAAGAAGTGAGAACTAAATTGTGTGAAACTTTGTCTTTCAAAACAGAAATAATTCAGAAGTACATGATCAGAGTCTGACAACAGCCGCTTCTACGTTACCGGAATGAACCCCAATTTTATCCGGCCAAGGACTGTGCTATCAGTGAACTTAACCTGTTTGGACCGGTAAGTAGTAGTAATAATTGATGAGGTTGGTCACATAATAATAAGAATCTTGTAACCGCGCAAGATTATAATCTTGTTACCCATAAGTTTAGGTAGAACCCAGCCGCCTTAGAGAAGACCACACAGATACAGGTATTAATGAAACGAGGATGCAAACCCATAAGTCTGCGGCGTCTAAAGTGAAAACAGAGTTTTCCAACAAATATAAAATGCTGTAAAAACGAAATACAATACATAGGTATTTTATGTATTTTCTCTCCAAAGACTGTTTATCGACTACCAGTTTCCAGTAATAAGAACGAAATTAAATAAATTTGAAGCGCATTGAGTTTTCATCCAAACGTATGGTACATATATAAAGATGTGGATCAGTGTTAATTCTCAAGAGTTTTGAATATGAAGGCTGTTTTAAGGTTTGAATTCGCTAAACTCCAAATATGTATTTGACAGAGTTAAAAAATAAAAAGTATTATGCAAAATACCTCCTCACCTTCAGTAAAGAATACACAGATTTATATGATATTTATGTGCTAATGGAATAACTCAATAAATACATTATATACCATTCAATAACAACATTAACATTACCCGTTCCCACGACAGTCGGGTCTACGTAACCGGAACGGACCCGGCTTTATTCCGGCCAAGGACTGTCAACTCGGCATAATTCTGCCGCTAAAACAACAACAACAACAT